TCGCGACGGAGGATTGCCGGGTTGTAGCGTCGCGGAGGTTTTGGACACAAGGGGATGTCGTGCATGAGGAGTCCACTTGGCGTGCCAAAGGGCTATAGCAAAGTGCTGATATAGATGCGGCCTAGGCGGGATGGTAAGGACATAGGCGACTGAACTATCCGCCCATGTCCCGGCTGGGTCTATTTCCTTAAAACAGGCTCTTGAGCTGTACATGACCACTCTTGTCGACTTGTTGGAAATGACGGCCTCTCGTTTGGAAGTTGGTGGGCGGGAAGAGACTTGACAGACAGTCGGATATTTGTAATTTTTCAAAGCAAGCTACTCGACAGACGGCAGACGTTTGGGAAAGAGAGGGGATCTCCTGGAGCTGTCAGACATGCATGTGGGGTATCTCAATGCTGATGCTCGAGTAGGTCAGCAGAGTGTTGGAAGATCTGACGTGCCTGAGGCAAGCTAGGTACGACGACGCACACCCCGGCTCGACGCGCAACAGCGCAACAGCACGTTGCAGTCGATAGTCTGTCTTCAGTGCGGGGCAGTGCCAGATTCAAGGACAGTCCACATCGAAACGATCAGAGGTGCCGGTTGGTAGCTACGGGAGTGACAGTATAGTCTAGTATGGGTTCCACCAAGACGTCTTCCACGTGGTTCACGGCTAGGGTGATGGCATTGCCGGCAGCAGTCTGTAGGGCGGAAGACGATCCGACTGCCAAGCGCCTTCAGCGGACAGCTGCATTGGAAACACATGCACCTGCTCATTCGCTGATGCGATTCCAGTGTGAATCGGTGTGTTCCTGTTGCTGTTACATGCATTCGCTGGAATGAGCCACACTTGCCCAACGACAAGTCAGACGTATACAATGTTAGGAGTACAGTAAGGACATGGCTGTTCGACTAACTGCACGAGAGAGGCTAGGTAAAAAGAGGGGTTCGCCCGGTGGTGGCGTACCGGTACACTTTGGCGGTATTCTGGATCTTCTGGATCTTCGATGTAGTACTGTGTAGGTAGCTAGAGTAGGCGAAATGGCCGGTAGAGAATGTTCTGGCGAGTCGCGAGGCCAGGGATTTGGCGTGGCCGTCTGCTCTGCTCTGCCCTGCCCTGCTCTACTATGCACATGCTAGATAAAGGGGCGGCATTGAGTGGGCGCCACCAGCCACGCGCGCCCTGTTTGAAGATGCAGGAACAGCAGCGTCAAGAACGGCCGAATTCCATGCTGGGGTGAGAGGGATACGGTAGCTTCATGCACTGCAGCAGGGTCCAGGGCAACGGCACTTTCAGGCTTCAGCGCCCGTGGTTCCTTGCAGACAATGCCCACTGTTCTTGATCCTGCGTCCAAAACAATGTGCGCGCGCTGTGTGGGTGAACGGTGGATGCAGCTCTTGTCACCTTGGCACTCGCTTGGGGAACCACGGTCGAGAATGACACGAGTGAAACACGCCAGTAAGCTGCCCAATGTGGCTGGCGAAGATCGGAAGCCCTGGGTACTGTTGCATGCAGCACTGCATGGCTGCTAGCTACTTACTAGCTTTGGTGTAGGTAGTCAGTTACGGGAAGGTAGAACTTATCGTGGAGGAGAAGGGGGGGGGAGGGGGGGGAAAGAAGAACATAGTCTCGACGCATGACCCACAGTACCTATCCACAGCCTCTACGCACTGAGGCAGACAACACCTACAATACATGCTCTACGACAGTGCGAATACCTACCATGGTGGGTACGGGAATGGCGAATTTGTCGACTCGTGTTGGGGCTGGGCGGGGGCGGAGATTGAGATGGTCAGGTTTGGTGTCATGGTGAGCATCGAGCGAGCCGTGGCCGTGGAGATGGTGAAGGCCAAAAGGGGGCTAGACTCGTTTGCGCAAAAAGGTGGTGCAGGACCGTCTGGGGCCTGGGCAGCCGGCGATCGCACGTGTGAAGAAGCGGACGAAGAGTCGACGACGGAGTCTTTTGAGAGCATTATTATACGTTGTACGTTATAAGCGGTTGAACCGGCGTCGAAACAGGATAGGGCAGTCGATCAAAAACAAACTCCAATCTACATGTATAGCTGGTTCATCGCTGTGGGGTGGGGGAGTGGGACTCGACCTTCGCGCATATGCAAGAGGGGAGGGAGGGATCAGGTATGCATACATAACGCCGTAGAGAACTGTGTTCTAGTCGGTCGTTGGGGGATACACCAGTAAGATGGACTGGACTGGATCTTGTTGGTGTTTGCCTGGCGCGTGGATTGGGATCCTAGAGGTGTCCAGAGAGGTCCCCAAAGAGGTCCCAGAGTAAATGTCCTTGCACCCCTTGGCCCTGCAGTAAATGTGGCAAGCATACCGGTAGACGCGACGTGCGTCAACGGCTGTTGGCTGTTGCTTGCTGCTTTTCTGACATCTGTCTGCAGCAGCAGTGCAGCCGTAGCGTAGCGTGTGGGCTCAGCTCAGCACCGAGGGCCTTTTGGTGCCAAAAGCCCGCAGAGCAATCGGACGGACGGCTGCACAGTGCATGTCCACGAGATGGAAGCTGGGCTTACAATGCAACTGTCTTTTTCTTTTCCTGCAAGATACCTGTCCAGTGTCTGTCCAGTGTTTGTCCAGTGTTTGTTTGTCTGTCTGTCTGTCTGTCTGTCCAGTATCTGCCCGCCCGTCTGCCTGCCTACCTACCTGCATGGCTGAGGGAAGAGGGACTGCCAGTGTTCACTGGTGGATGCGCGTCCACAGACAGTAGTCCTGTGTTGTGTTAGTACATAGACCTGGGCGGTATCCAAGTATGTGTAATCTGTGTGCGCCTCTCCAAAAGGCCGTGCGCAGGGAGAAGTGCCCCTGGACGACCGAGTATTTGACATTGGTTCGCGTTGGCGGCCCGCTACATACATATCAACTTTGTGACCCTCGCTCGCCCGTCCGCCTAACTGCGCTGCACAGTAGTAATTCCTCATTCTTAGGTAAAAAAAAAATCTTGTGCCAGCCGTGACGCGAGGCCCCTGCACCCCGTTCACCTGGAGCTCCAAACTGTCTTCACTGCCCACCCGCCCTTCACCGTCACTCTCCCCCATACGCCCAGACGGCGCGCCGCCACACCACCACCACCACCATCACCACGCGAATGTTGCCGGGGGCTCTTTGACGGCCCATCTTCTCTGTATCGCCCACAACGCTGCAACATCACCTTCCATCAGCACACGTGTAACTCTGCCATTTACACCACAGTGGACCACGCACAACCCCACCGATACACGGCGCTGCCGTAGCCGCACCCCATGGCAACCTCTCCTCCCGGGTCGCCTGCGAATGGCGTTCCCAGGCCCATGAGCGCCATGATCCGCTCCAACGGCAGCTCGAGTCGCCTGAGCATGAGCAGCAAGCAGGGCGGTGGAAGCAGAGCCTCAGACGAGGACAGCAAGACCGCCGTCAAAGTCGGTACGTTTGGACCCTGGATTCACGTTGCGCTCCCCCCGCAATCAGTCACGAAAGAAGAAAAAAAAAACACACACATACACATGCATACATGCATACCCATAGAGTATAGTACAGCAGACAAGCTAACCGTACGCGACAGTTGTCAGGGTCCGGCCTCCACTACAGGCAGGCGAGCCAGGCTTTGAATTGATTCCACAGCGCTTTCGTTCAGCGACCTGCCATGTCACGACGCCTTCTAGTCTGGCCGTCGACGCATCTGGTGGCAGGAAGGTCTTCGTCTTCGATCGTGTCTTTGGCCCGGATGTTGATCAAGAGGGCATCTTTGAGTACATGGCCGATAGCGTCAACTCGTTTGTCCAAGGGTACAATGTTTCTATACTTGCATATGGACAGTCTGGTGCTGGCAAGTCGTACACCATGGGTACAACAGGACCGCGCGACCAGGCAGATGCAGATGTCATGGGTATGTCCAACACGCAATGCACCAATCAATGGGCAAAAACAAACCGCTAAACAATATCAAGGTATCATTCCTCGCGCAGCAGCATTGTTGTTCGAGAAGCTCGAAGGCTCCAGCAACAGAGCCTCCTCATCAGGTATCCGCGTCCCAAGTCGCCTGTCAGGCATCCAGAATCTCTCGGCCAAGTCTTCATCCAATAAGAACTGGCAACTGAAAGCAACCTATGTTGAAGTACGTTGACTGCTAGAATGGACCAATTCGACGAAGCTGACGTGCGCAGATTTACAACGAGCATTTGCGCGACCTTCTCCTCCCAGAAAACATATCTCTTGGTGAACGGCCCCAAGTCAACATCCGCGAAGACCGGGACGGCCGCATACTCCTCACCGGACTTACACAAACATCAATCAATTCCGTCGATGACCTGCTGAGTGCGCTCAACTTCGGGTCCGCTATCCGACAGACCGACGCCACAGCTGTGAACGCCAAATCCTCACGCTCTCATGCTGTCTTCAGTCTGAACCTTGTGCAAAAGAAGTCCTCGCCCATGCCAACGGCAACTCGTGAGAAGCGACGTTCAGTGCCCATCGAAATGATGTCTGGCTCATCAAACGACAGCTGGATCACAGTTGACAGCAAGCTGCACTTTGTAGATTTGGCTGGAAGTGAGAGATTGAAAAACACAGGCGCGCAGGGCGAGAGGGCAAAGGAAGGCATTTCCATCAATGCCGGACTGGCGAGCCTGGGCAAGGTCATTTCACAACTATCTGCTCGCTCTCAAGGTGGTTACGTATCCTACCGTGACTCGCGACTGACACGTCTCTTACAAGACTCCCTCGGCGGCAACGCCATCACATACATGATTGCATGTGTAAACCCCGCCGAATTCCACCTGAGTGAGACACTCAATACCGTCCAATACGCGCAACGCGCTCGCGCTATCCAAGTCAAGCCACAAATCCAACAAGTCCATGACGATAGTGACAAACAGGCTGCTATTGAACGTCTCCGTGCGGAAGTTCAATTTCTGCGGGACCAGATCCGAATCTCTGAGCGCACGGACCGGAAGAAAGCCGACCCTCAGGAGCGCAGTGAGCGACAACAGGAGCGTGAGATGGAGTTGCAAAATCAACTGCTGGACATTCAAGAGAATTACAATGCTCTAAACGCTCGTCATGCCAAGTTGATTTCCGAAATCACCAAGGCTCGTGACAATGAGGAAGCAGACACGCCAATGCTGAAGGATGCCATTGGGGACTCTGCTCTTGAACGTTTGAAGCGTTCCAACTCCTTTGCAGAGGCTGTTGAATCTGTGGTCCTCGAGTATGAGAAAACGATACAGACCTTGGAGTCTTCTCTCCAGAACACTCGAACCTCGTTATCTGCTCACGAGAGCGATTTAATGGAGAAAGAAACGCGCATCGCCATCCTCGAGAGTCAAAACCACCAATTGCAGGCACGCATTCAGAAAGCCATGGATCGTGACGCAAACAACGAGGAGTATGTCAAGCAACTGGAGAGCCAGATCGATAACTCGGCCAACGGCATCGAGAAGAATGACACCACGATTAGTGATCTGCGGGAGAAGCTGCAGAGGGCTCGAGAGAATGAGTCTAGCTGTGAGGAGTATATTTCGACTCTAGAAGAGCGCCTCGCAGAAAATGAACAGGAGGTAGAGATCATGACGCGGGAGATTGAACGCCTCAAGCACGTTGTTGAGCGACAGCGTAGCGTTGGCAAACTCGATAACCTTCTCTACGAGCTCGATACAATGCGTCAAACTGATGCAAAGGCTGAGGAATCTCACGTCAATGGCCATTCCAAGTCTGGCAGCGATCCATTCATCGATAAGCGGCCACAGATTGAGAGACGTGGCACAGGCGAGATTTCGAACCGATTCAACACACCAGTTGAGGTCATTGCAGAAGAACCTGATGCGGAGCGTCCCTCGACAGCTGGAAGGGAATCTGACATTGTGAACGTAGTGGTGACTGATGGTGTCTCTCTCAAGGATCTAGCGCCAGAAGATGGTCAAGATGAACCGTCAAGCCCAGCGCAGAGTCGCTTTGTTCACGACAAACTCGACTCAGTCACACAAGAATTGTTTGATCTCCGGGTGGAACACGAGGGGACTCTGCAAGATTATGAGAAGCTTGCCAGTAAATATCAAGAAGCCCTACGGACATTGGCGGCCTTGCAAGATACTGTGGATGAGGCACGTCACCGTGGCCCAGCCTCCGTGCAATCCTCCCGTCCAACTTCTTTCCTAGGTCCAGCAGCTACCGACGGCTTGAAGCCAGAGGAGCCTTCCACATCACGGACATTATCCGCAGAGTTGTCCATGTTGGAGGCTGAGAACATTCCACTACCAGAAGATGAGACTGAGGGTGGCCATGAGGAACTCGACGAGGAGCGATCTTCATTCGGCTCTGCAGATGGAACTCAGCATATTCCAGAGGCAGTTCTCGTTCAGGAGCTGAAGGCTTTGAAGCTGCTGCACAACGAGAAGGAAGAGCGCATGGTCGAGCTCCATCGACGCTACTCTGAACTGCAGGAGGAACACCAAGACACGCTGGATTACGTTGAGGAACTCAAGTCGGAGATCACAAAGGCGCAGTTGAATCGCCCAGCTTCGCCTTCGGTACATATGATCCGTCGCAAGTCCAGTCAAGCCGTTCTCGCAAACGACCGCTCAAATCGTGCCTTTGCATCGCTGCGAAACATGGCGTTGGACACGTTTGAGGAGGAGCCCGACACAGTCCAAAACTTTGAAATCAACCTCAACACTATCATGTCCGAGCTACATCTCCGATCCGAGCGGGTACAAGAACTCGAGGCCGAGGTCGCTTTGGTCCGGAAAGAGATGGAAGGCAAGATGACCTTGATCAGCGGCCTCACCAAGGAGCGTTCCAGTATGAAAGCAGGATCGCCCCTTGACATTTCCCTTGTTGCTTCGATGCAAGATCAAATGAAGCAAAATGAGGACCACATCAAGGAACTCAAGGACGCCCACATCCAACGCGAGCAGGAGCTTCAGGAGCAGATTGAGTCATTGAAGGCCTCGACCAGGCTGCCCGATTCGCCGGATGGAAGCTCGACCTCTCGACAACTTGGTGATGAGATCAACACATCAGAGGATGCTTCCACCCGTCATGCTCAACTCAACCAACTGAGTGATGAAGCTGCGCATTGGCAGTCAAAGCATCTTGAAGTCATCGAGGCTACCAAGGCCTCTGAAAGGCAGCATCTCGATACTGTTCGAGAGCTAGAGACAGCCAAGCAACGACTGGAGGTAGATCATGCTCTTCGCATCTCTGAAATAGAGCAATCCAAGAGCGTCGAATCGGAGGTCGCTCTAGAGCAGGAGCGTGCAAAACATGCTGAGCTTATTGCTGCCCTGCAAGCTGAGGTTGATGAGCACCGTGCCACAGCTTCCAACAATGCAACTCGTCTTGCTGAGCTTGAGGCATCTCATGCAAGCATCATTCAACAAGTGGAAGAGAATGCAGAGGCAAGAGCTCTCACTGAAAAGGAGCTTGATACTCACAAGTCTCTTGTTGCAAATCTTGAGCGTCAAATTGATGAGCACAAGGCCGCCATTGAGTTCCATCAACAAGGCATGGACTCTATGCACAAGACACATGCTGCAGAGCTTGAAAAATTGACATCCGAGTTGACGGCACACCAGCAGTCGAGAGACTTGCTACAAGCCGATCTCTCCAAGACCAAGCAAGATCTTGATAACCTACTTGAGGGCCTATCAAATGCTCTTGGTGAAGAGACGGATATCACCAAGGTGCAGAGTCAGATCGAGACTTTAATTAACGAAAGGAAGTCAATTACAACACAACATGAGCAAGCCGTCAGCGACCTCGAGGCAGCAAGGCAAGAGCTCAGCCAGGCTACCGCCACCATTGGCACTCTCAAGAATAACCTGAAGGAGTTCGAGCTCATCAATGCAGAAACGATCAAAGAGCTGGAAAAGGTCAGTGATAAGGAACTCAAGAGCTCTCGTCTGGTACAGGAACTCGAGGACCAGCTGAACCAGAATTGGGACCAGCACGAAGCTGCAAACAACCGTCTCTCGGCTCTCCAGACTGAGCGCTCTCGTGAACTCCAAGACGCCATTGTGCATGGCGAAACGCTGCACAGAGAAGTTGAAGAATGCCGCATTAAGATCGCACTCCTGGAGGTAAGCTGCACATCCTCTTTTTCCTTATTCACATTAACTAACGACGTATAGTCTCAACTCGTGGACGCGAAGCGTAACTCTAACCGTGGATCCATGGACCCGCGAGAGGATCTTCAACGCTCCAACTCCAACAACTCAAATGCACGCAAGAGCACAGCGCATACTTCATTGCCGTCGCCACCGCCTGCTATTCCCCTTCCTCCTCTACCTCCAGGTAGTCCTCCAGCTAACGGGCCATCACCTCCTACATCTCGCCACCAGAGCAAGGATATTGCCCATGCTCAGCTTGTTGAGGATCAGGAAGCTCGTATCCGCACAATCGAGAAACACCTGTTCGCCGAGAAGCAGCTTACTGCTACCCTGGAAGATGCTCTGACGGATCTCGAGGCATCCAGCAGCAAAACAAAGCAAGAGTTGGAAGTGATGAAGAAGAGGTGCACCACTCTCGAAGAAGAGCTCAATGTCATGCGCAAAGAACGCAGCGCGGCACGCCACTCTCTCCAAGCTGTCGAGGAAGAGCGCAACGCCCGTCTTCGCGTCGAAGCTGAGCGCGCCCACCTTGAGGCTCGCATGGCTGCGCTTAACAACGCGAACAAGAAGAAGAAGGGCGGCTTCAACTGCTTCTAACCATGTCGCTATCCACTCACCCTTTTACCCTTCTCTGTATCTTCTTCACGACCAAATGCTTCTACCCGGCGCACTGGAAGGACGTTACATACCCCCAATATACACCCTTGACCTATTCTGCTTCCTTGTCGCTGTTGCCGAATTCCGGCCCGCGTCACTCTGGACATGTCTTTATGCCCCTTTTCTACGATTTGCAATGCTCGCAATCTCAGATACATAAAATTGGAGACGGCTTTTTCGGACGAGCGGAAATTTTTTGCTCTCACTCTGGGAGAGGTGTGGTCGGGCTTGCAGGCCGCACATGTTTGGTCGATTTTTACACAACTCTTTTTCTTTCTTGGTTTTTATGGTTTTATGCCCCATACCCACACTACTTTTTCCTCTTCTTCACATAGTTTGCGGTTTCTTTAATGTATACTATATTGATGGGGTTGATGGCTTAGTGACGCGTCTTGTCTTGAGCACACGTCATCCCTTTCTTTCTTCTGATTCTTGTCCTTCCTCTTCTGATTCTTCTTCTACCATACATAACACAAATTGATCCTCCTCGACCTTATATATTTTTTTGGTTTGTGAATGTTGTGTATCCATTAGGAACGCAAGAGCTAGTCGCGCACGAGCGGTCGTGCGTAAAAATATTCTGGCTTTTGGGTTTTTTTGGTTGCGGGTTTGGGTTTTGTTGAGGATTTGGATTTGTTTTGGATTTGTTTTGGATTCAGTGGATCAGCAGATGACGTTAAACTTTTTTTTTGGTTTCTTTTTTTGCGCGGGGGAGGGGGACTCCGATGTATAAACTTTCGGGGGTTGGATGGGTTTGAGTTTACATACATGCAGAGAGAGAGGGGGATGGAGAGTGGGTTGGTGTGGCGCGAATGCCTGCGAGAAGGACAATTCATTTTTTTCTTTTCATTTTCTTTTTGGCTTCAGGCTAGTTTGTGAGGCCGGTTTACATGATTGCTGTGTGAGAATGCGAGTTGCTGGGACTGTGTGCTTTTGGGCACGTTGTTCGTTTTCATGGTGATTGTGATTGTGATTGTGATTGTGATCGCGATGGGCGTTTGTGTGGCTGAGCGGGGTCGGTGTTTATGGAATGAGATGTATATACCTCTGCATATATACACTTTTTTTTTTACACGAACAAAGGCTCTCTTGCGGTCCTTGAGACTTGATTATACTTACGTGGACGTGTTGTTTGGTTGGGGTTACGTGGGTTTGGGTGGGGCGGTGGATGTGGGTGCTGTGCTTGCATGGCTGACACGTCGTGTGGTGTCCTGTGTTTTGGTGAGGGAGGATGATGGTCAGTGTAAGGGCGATTACAAGAGTAAGAAGAGAAGAGGAGAAGCTAAGTATGGTGAATACTGTGTCTAAGGATACGCGTCTGAGGACTCTAGATCTAGAATGCTCTGTTGTGCAAGAAATGAAATAGTGGGAGTGATGTCTGGCAAGCCCATTATATTTTGTGTGTAGATAGGTAATAGTGTTTGTATGTGTATTTCTGGGTATGCAAAGATCTAATAGTCTGGTTATCTGGAAAGAGTTTCGTGGATGGTGGGATAGGGAAATGTGCTCGGGATGTTGGATGTTAGATGGTGGGTCATGATGGAGGATGGTATAGGATACACAAGACCGTACAAAATGTTACAGTACAAGAACATAATAAAACTATAATATAAATACGTCACTCTTACTACATACAAATTCCCTTGTGTTTAATTGTTCGCCAAGGGGGGTGGAGGCGCGGAGTGAGGCACAGTCCTGCATAATTTCATGGGCCGGGTGATTGATATCCTACACCGTACGAAGGTGAGGCAGAATAAGCCCAGGGGCGGGAAAGCTAGGGCGTGGGTATTTGATTTAGGGGTTAGGATTGTCGGTTCGGAAGATTTTCTTAGTAAGTTGGGTGGCTAAGGGGGATTAGATTTGCGAAGGGTTAGGGGAATGGGGGGTTGGGCATATCTTACCTTGGCTTAGCTAGGGATGACTAAATTGAGTATTTGTTTTGCTTGTGTGCGCGGTGTTTGTTTTGGTGGGTGGGTCGGGATGGAGAGATTTGCTGCAAAGGGATGGGATAGGAAGGATTGGATTTGTTTGTGTACGCGAGGTTGTGGTCGTCTTGTTGTGGAGTCTCTGGCGCTCGGTTTCAATACCTTTGATCTGAGGCGGTTGTATACAAGATCACACATTAGAGAGGAATATTGGAGGGTCTATAGCAGTAGAACTTGACGGTATAATCCGAATTGAATTACATCACAGTTCAAATTTAAGAATCTGAATTACCTGTATCCGAGTTTCCTAAGCATTAAAACAGCCTTTGTTATGCGTTAGTGAACATTACGTCGTAACGAATGTTTGGATTAGGACTCATTGGTGTGAGAGATTGTGTGCTGATGAGACGAGTGGTGACAGTTTGAGGGTGAACTTCTCTTTCATTGTATGCGTTATAGGTACCATCTACTCTAAATTAGGCCAGGTTCATAGCAGTATCACTGAAATGTTGTTAATGATCGCGATGTCAAAATTGACTACTATATATGTAGGATATGCTCCCAGACGAACGTAGTATGCGCAGCGAGGTGTACACACGTGAGCTCAGTGCTTAAAGTACTTGTCCACAGCTCGTACCTAGATTTCAGGTAATCACTGTGGTTGTCGTCGCCTTCCAGATGTGCTTTCTCCGATATCTCCAGGTACCGATACATAGCTTGCGAATCATGATCATGAAATAAAAACAATGTCTAGCATACAAAACATCGCATTGTCCACGGTATTCGCCCGCTTTCGCTTTGTGATAGAAGCATAATGAGTGCACAGATGGGTGGCTCTTCTTAATGCATCGGCATATTGAGTTGTCATATTGTCCATTCTGACATACTCTTCAATGTTAGTATCTTCATAACACCAAATGATACATTTGATGAATGCAACAAATTATAAGGCAATGACCGAGTTTATGATCATTTGCGCTCGCTGTCGCGCATGTTCTGGATGGGTACGCATCACGTCAGCGCGCTACGGCAAAAAGTATCGCCGGCGGATCCTAGACTAAATTTTCTAGAGCTTCAAAACCACTTCCTCTCCAACCACCATGCAATGCCAATCACCACCGCATCAATTCATGCGCGTCGCGAATCTCTTCATTTGACTCATTACTAACGCAGCGTGTGCGCGCTTATCCATACAATCTCTGGTAAGCCAATCTCCGTCCTTCGACAGTCACCGCAGATGATTATAACTTTACACGAACAATCCAACTCCTATAGCGTCATGAAGGACTACACAACTCTAGAATTACAATGATGCATCTTCTTCATCTATCTAGCTTCATCGCTTCCTTTGCGCACGTATCTAACGGTATCGCAGGATTGCTTGCTCTCCACGACGGTTTCGCGCACTGGTTCTTTTCTAAAAGGTACGGCTGCCCCCATTCTTCCATCCCACCACGCAGAGTGATGATAAAACGACACGGAAAGGCATTCCTCGACCTGAATACATAATGTCGACACCCTTGCTTTTAGTTTCAGCCTTGTCTGACCCTGCTTCGCATCTCCCGCTTTTTACATGGATCATCAAAGACCAATGGCTAACATTACGTCTTCAGGTACATACACACTTCACGGAGCCCCCCGTCCCTGAGATAACACTTCCTTCTTGATGATAACCTCGATGCGTCGGGCGGACAGACCGTACTCCTTGACCGACATCCATCAAAAGCAGGCGTACAAACCTGTGGGTGTTTGGAAGAGGATGTACTTGTTGACAACAGCATCACTGATTGCCCATACACAATACTTCTGTTACTATATGGCCAACCGGATCCTGACTGACAGTGCAGCAGGTATGGCAATTCTTGCTTGTTCCTGACGGTCCATCATTCAAATGATGAACATTGATATTCACACTGTGTGAGCGGCGGCGTTGTAACGAGCGTCCGTCGTACTGATCACTTAAACAATCTGATTTAATGAGGTATGTGTAATTATTCATTGTTGGATTTGAGCGTCGCTAATATCATCCAGACTGATTCTTGTTGGACTCGTACATTCTCATATGCACGGATGTAATTGTGGCTTCCAAGCACATGCTAACACCTTTGATATGCAGATGTGATCCTGTCAAAATTGCGATCCCTCATCTCATGTGTAAGTCAGCGACTCTTCCGTCACTCTCTTTCCCTCGTCCTATGATGATTTAATTATCTATGTTTTAATTTCTGTATCTATCAACACCTGAAGAAAAAACACCTTGGAGAACTGATATACGACTTGACTTTGCATCTCTGTCATTCATCGCTCGTCAGACGGGATTGCTAACCAGTCACCAGTGCTTGATCGAATTGGGAAGGATGGCCATATATGTAGCTCAATTCAATCTAATTGATGAACAACTTTTTATGTTTTCGTGCTCAAGTGAATTTCTTCAAAGTAGTTTTGTGAATCCTGCCAGCTGTACAAAGAAGCCTTGCAAACCCTAGACCCACTCCCCGTGACCGCTCTTTTGACCGCAAGATTCCATCTGCTCACGGAAGATGTACGCGATCAATCTGATTGCAATTGCAAAGACCTCGTTCTCAACAAGCGGAGCACCTTGCTACATCAAATCGGCTGCACTGAGAACTAAGCCTAAGCTCGGTTAATAAGCGTGCGTGCTCGCATACAATGCATGCATGTATGCATGAAAAGGCGGTCAGGATAGGCTTCTGCTGTTTTTTTCCTGCTCTGTTCACAACTTTGCTGCATGTTGGCGCGTTACTGTTGGTTGCTGCAGGTACATCCCCGCCAGGTTCCAACCCGTTTTTTCTGTGCGTCACTCGGCTGATCTACTACTTGTGGATGACTGTGGGTATATCCCTCGTGTAGATGATTGTCGATTGCTTGTTGGTGATCTGGTGATCGGTGGTGTACGTTCTGTCTTGTTGCCCTCTGCTCTCTGCGATACTGGACTCCACACAGGCTTGGCTTTGCAGTGTTTTATTCGGCCGAGAAAATGGGTGTGGATGAGCTGTAGGGATACCTATGTAGACGATTGCTTGGTTAATCTCTGTGGGCGATTGGAGTTTTCAAAATACGGAATTCGTGGGCAAAATGGCGTTGACGTTGCGTACATGGCGGTATTTCTCGTACGACAGAAATACGGAAGAGTGGGTAGGTACAATGCAATGGAAATACAATACGTTAGTCTTTCATCACTCATGCATTGGAACAAGCAAACAACACCCAACATTGCTAAAACCACAAAATCTCACATCCCCGAGCAAACAAACCGTCGGATGGGAATCAAAGATGCAGACGAACCCCTAGATCCAGAATCGATGATGCAGGCAAACCCCAATGACCATTGTCAAAAGGAAAAATTGAAATCAAATCAATACAAACAATAATCGCACAGGTACAGTACTCATCTACCCATCCCAACCACCCAGCAAAACACAATTACTCGCGAGATATTAGTTCCCCACCTCTCCAATATGCAAATCAATAGCAACCCCCCTGCACGGTTCCGATCCGATCCGCTCCGTTCCGTTTGGTTGGGGGGGGGGGGGGAGGTGGAGCGATGGAGCGATTGCATTCATGGAGAGATGGAAGGCGTGTTTTATTTTGGTGTGTTATTGTCATGGTGTGTTTATTCGTTCTACGTACGGTACGGTACATACCATGTAGGTAATGTACCGGTATACCTAGTAGCTGCACGGGTGTATACATGCCGCCCACCGCTCACGCACGTACCGTATACATCAGCGATTTGGTATCGGACAGAATTGACAGCACCGTGATAGTTGATCTACGCAGAACGTTGCCATGGAGAGGACAACGAGTGTGACGTGTATTCTGCGTTTGACGGTGAGGGGTAGGTAAGCTTGAAGAGACCTGCAATTGCTCGAGCTATTGTACCGGTACCGTACCGGTCGCTATGGTGCATGGCATGGGCTCATGCGTGCTTGCTGTGTGCGATGGCGTAGGCGTGGTGTCGTGAGCGGTGAGATATGCAATGCACGGTGAAACATGTACGCGATGCAATCCCACCTTATGGTGAAGATCTGGGGAGAGAGAAAGTGTGTGTGTGTGTGTGTGTGTGTGTGCGAGTGTGGGGTGAGGAGAGAGTATTTGTCCGCGTTGTTGGCCGAACAACGGGGCGGGGGTTTGATACGTATGGGAGTAGGGATTGTTGTTTATTGTATTTTGCTTGGGTTGATAGATGGATGAATAGGACGAGACTTGATATGCCTGTTTAGTGATTCGTACGAAGAAGTTTGGCCGATGACTGTTGGTTGGTTACATGTAGAGAGAGGGAAGACGTGGGGTCTGTGCTAGCATAGTAGGTACTCCGCAGAAGGCGAGCTGTTAGAAAGCACACCTAGGTAGAGGCTAGAACCCGTGCGCTCGGCAGCCAGGGTGAAAAGATCTAAGATGTAGCATAGCACGGTTTTGACTACGCGAGTAGGAAATCAGATCGCTGTACTATGCTGTCAAGCTAATCGCCATACAATACCTAGATGTTCAGCGCAGACACCTCCGTGTTTTCCAAATATATGCATGGCACTACAGCATGCACTCCCTGTGTCCTGCGCAGCTTTTATTGGCGGTGGGTTTAGACCTTTACGTATGAGCAGACATCCGCGCTGGATTCCCAAAGCGAGAATGAATTTTCGCCTGCTACCGGTATACCAAGAGTGATTTTATTAGTGTAGCATAGTTGTCTGAAGACTCTGCTCATCTTAGCTGCGTCATCCCGGATCGTCAGACTTGGAATCGCAGTGACAAGATCGTACAGCTGGGGTATATGGCGACTGCTGGGATTATTAGTGTACATGCCGGTAGAATTGGAATGTAGAGAACGAACAGGGGAGGTGGTATTGTGTTAGATATGACTCACAGAGAAACATACAGCGTTTGCGATTACCGGTAGAAGAATAATGGCGGGGATGGAAAGCCTCATGTTTGGTTGATTAGCGTGACAGATGTTCGATTGCTGGTAGAATATCAAAGTACTAAGTAAAGAAAAGACGGAGTGATGTGCGTATAATAAGAGTATAAGTATGAGTACTGGTCAGGATACAGTTATTATATCGTCAATCTTTTTGTCAGTGATCTCTTTCTTTTTTACAACTCGACCTTTGAGTACCCAAGTAAGCTGCCTGAGATCTAAGGCACTTGTAGACAGTGGTTCATCTGCACGTCTGATCTAGGAAGAAACTAATGCACATATGCCAAGTAAGGCCTAAGAAGCAATATAGCAATAACTACTTGTCCTTTGACATGATAAGATAATCGTTCCCCAAACAACATAGGGTATGATCTGACAGACTGCAGGCAAGCAGAGTTTGCAAGCCAGTCCGCAGTAGTACTATAGTAGTTATAGTTGTAGTCTTTGAGGGATATATGTACGTACTGTACCTCAGGTAGCTAGTGGGATGATATAAGCGCGGTTGGTATGGTAGTCGAGTGCCGCCGAACTAGGTCGTTAGGAAGGTAAGCAGACGTCTCTCTTAGATATAGGTAATATACTTGAGCTTGTAGAAATGCAAAGCCCTGTCGGTCGCGAGCTGTCAACACGTCGTGTATGTGTTTGTTTGTTTGTGTACGTATGTGGCGCAGCGCGTTTGAAGATGGACAATCAAAGCCCAGAAGGCCATGCTGCGGAGACTTACGAGCGCTGATGCTCAACGGCAGCAGACAAGCGACCAAAGCAGACAAGACACGGTTGTTCTTGTTTTTGAAAAAAAGCCTCACAAAATCGAACCGAGTGAACCATATAGAGGCCGAACATGTCACACTCGGCATATTAGCTGCATCCCACACCCACCACGTTCTGGAGAAGCGTCAACGTCTCATACCGTACTCACCACGTGAAAACCACATCACACCCACGACATCAATTGGCCCCGATCGCGCACTCTGAAGATTTATTTTTGCGCGTGGGAGCAGGGGTGGTGTTTCATGTTTCACAGCCCTCTTCCATCTTTGCTCTGTCTCGGATGTGAGAGCTATAGTTAGCCCCCCCCCCCGCGCTGCTTGGTGAGGAGATGAGGTAGGTACCTACTATGGTGGGTGAGGTGATCTAGATGTGTTGGTTGGATCACACCTCCACCTCCCCCTTTTTTCTTTGGAGAGGAATGCGAGATGCGAGGCGAGGCGGTGCGAGATGCGAGATGCAAGGTGTAATGTAGTGTAGTGTAGTGTACTGTGGTGTAATGTGGTGTTCGCATCACCACGCTCAAGCTCCTCCTGCGCGTTACCCACGCTGCGCAGAGTCCCTCGTCTCGCAAACCACCATAATACCACACCGCACCCTCTCCCAATACTCAATCAAGACACAAGACAAGCAAGACCCAGACCCCAAGCCACCAGTCTCCTCCTCCCTCACAACATCATGTACAGTACAGTATTTTGCTTTTCCCATCTCGCGCCTCACTGTCCCGCCACAGGTAGAGTACAGTACGGCGGTACCAGCCAGGAGGTGGCAAACAGCTGCACGCATGCTCGAGCCATTGGCGCAGTGACACCATCTCTGCGTCAGCGATCCCGCACCCCTGAAACGGCGAGGAAGCTGGGCAGGACAGGGCAGGAGCTGGGCTGGGCAGGGCAGGAGCTGGGCTGGGCTGGGTATGTGCAACCAACATACGTATGTAACTGTGTCATGTACTGTACGGTATTCTACTATATACGCATCCGACACGTTACCTACGCTACCCTACCCTACCTTGCACCACCCCGTTCACGCGCTCGTGCATGTGCAACGCGCTCGCTCAGCTGCAAGACATTGGCTGAGGAGACCAAGTGTTCGCATACAGGTAAGGTGGGCCAAGGTAGCCCACACCACGCCGTGGGCTGTTCACGCAAAAAGAAAACGAGATTGAAAACGTCCAAGCTGCGCGGCCGTCTTTTTTTGCGGGTTCGATGCTAAAACGTGCCGGCTGGTGGGAGCGCAGGAGCATGAGGGTTAGCTATGTACTGTATGCCGTTTGTGGGATAGGAACGGGTGTGGTGTATTTGTGTCTTTTTTTTGGGGGGTTGGAATTTGGGGAGGCGACGGTTTTGGGTGGGCTTCATTGTTTTTTTTCTAATGATGATGCGTGAGGAGAGAGAGAGAGAGAGAGAGAGGGAAATTCACATTATCCTGCACACACGCAATACACACATGCATCGCTCACGTTACCATTGTAGGGAATTTCCGAGAACGAGGAATTGACAGCATACAGCATGTACAATTACTTTACACAACTTCGCCCGGCTTTCACATGTTTCCCGAGCCGAGCGGGAAATGGGGAGGGGAGGGAAGGTGCAAGTTCGGGAGAGGATGGGGGACAAAAAGGTCAGCGTAGATGCTTGTCGCGGTGGGTGAGCACCGTTTCTGGAGCGGAAGATGACTTGCAGCACCGTGCGGGTTCGTTGCAACGCCGGCGATGACGAGACTATTAGATGTTGTGTTCACGGCTCAAGGAGGAGGAACCTGGCTAGCGACTGGCTGAAGGCGATCATGCACGGGAATTGCATGTTCTGGTTGTACAAGAGAGAAGGGGGGTGACCATTGGGAATCGTCAATTGGGGAATTGCAAAAGGACAATGTGTCATGGCATTGGCGCGGTATTTCGTCGCGACTCACGACAACCATGACAACTGCTGGTTTGAGTAAAAAGGTCGAATGGTGCTCGACCATTTTTTCCCTTGCTAGTCAGGGCCGGCAGATCGCCTGCGGTGTTGGGTATCAAATCAGCCCAGTGATCGACTCGAGAACGATAGAAGCCATGAAGAAATGTCCATGCGCAGAGGAGAGGCCAGCACCAAACGAGATGATGGGCCCTGAAGGTGGGCCGGCAATCTACTGTGCTTTGATGATCTGACCAGGTCAAAACACGGTAGAAGTTCTGGAAACGAGAGGGGGGGTGGCCTTTGCTCGGAATACGATGGCGGTACGCGTAGGGTCAACAAAGTCGCCCACGACACGAGGGACGGACGGGCTCAGCTGGTATAGAATGAAAGCATAATTCGATCATTACAGGCGGGGTGGCTGGCACAGATACCTACTACCGTATCGATGATTGTCATGTTTCTCTCCTGGTTAGCAACAGCCGACAGAGTAGAGGCACGGCAAGAGCCATGCGATGGCGTGCTGCCAACATTTCAGATGACGGTCGAACGATGGCCCATTCGCCAGAGGCAGAGTTTTTGATCATGCTGCAAGGTTATGGCTGGATGGAGACAAGAGCAAGTTTGCCGTGAAGCAGTTGGCCGAATGAAAAAGTTGGACCTTGGGCAGCCGTGGTTTCGTCGATCACGACTACCAAAGCATGGCACACACGCGTTGGGCCCCCGACTCCCCGACGGCGCCCTGCGTCTGGTTGCGCGCGAGGGCGGGATCTGGTTGTCCAACAAATGACGTGCACTGCAGCAAGCACACTGAGCAGTGTGAGAGAATAGCAATGTGTGTGTGTGTGTGTGTGTGTGTGTGTGTGTGTGTGTGTGGGTGTTGTGTGTATACTGGTACACAATATATGACGAGGTGAGATGCAGCCAGCGGGAGGTGTGGACATGGCTGTCCTGGTCGCTGTGCTGTTTATTTTTGATAACATTCATAACAGCTAGCTGGTGAAGAGATGATGGAGACCGGGGGACGTACATGCTGTACATTGTAAGTTTCTTCGGGAGGGATTGCCCAAGGCCGGCTGATGGCTGATTCGAGGAGAGGAAGCTTTTGACGGAGGAGGTGGCCGTCAGCGCGGCAGTGCGGAACACTGGACTAGACAAAGGCTACCATGCGGACGGGCGTCGGCGACGCTAGGGTACCAATGGGAGACAGGGCTAGCGGGGGCCGAGGGCAGAAAGCGGCTAGTCTGGTGTGTGCATGAGGTGGATAGCCCAGGTACCGCGTACCGCTACCGGTCCGGAGCGATGCTTCAAGCAGCACAAGGGAGAGAACGTGGGCGTGCAGGAGGGTCGAGGGCTGATGCTTGCACGCGACGGCCGTGACGTTCCTGAGTTTTGTGCTTGCAAGCTGGCTTGCTGGGCCGGGGCCAGGGGACGGCCATCTTGGGACCTGCAACAGAGTTGAAAGACCGGGCGTACTGTACCGTACCGTACCGTACCATCCAGCTCCTTGTGTGTATGTGCTAGGTATATCTTGTTTACATGGTAAGCACCGGTGGCGCAGGCTGGCACACAGACACACAGACGCCCACACCCATACCCACACACAGAGAGAGAGAGAGAGAGAACTGCCGCGGGGTCTCTACTCAACACGTATGTTCCCCCAGTGGGTATGCAGGTAGCCTGTGCTGACAGGGTGGACGGTGATGAGAAGGAGATGAGGAAGCGATGAAAAAGAAGGATGAGGAGGAGACGACAGAGGAGGGGTAGTTAATTAGGAAAGGATGTTGACAGAGTTGTCATCGGCGAGACTATCACACAAGGTTGGCGTTATCGATTCCACCTAGAGGATGTGTGTGGTATGTACAGTAGGTGTGTGTATGTACTCCAACGCACATGTGCCCACTGTGCCCACTGTTCCCAATGTACGTACCATACCTACGATGGTATAGTGCCCATGTACCACCACCTACGTGCGTACATACACACACTCTCTACTTACCTACCTATATAGTACATGATGCATCTTCCCTCGCGTCGTCTCGTGTCCGAAGGGAGATTGATAGAAAGACAATCAATCGGAACAAGCAAGTGTGTCGGGGGTGGTTATGTACGTACAGTAGGGTTGATGGCTAGGGGTGACTAGAGAGGTTATGTAGGGAAGGAGGGTACATGTACAGTAGTAGGGTGGGTGGTGCAGCTTGTGCAACTGGGCAGCTACTGCATGAGCTCTCTTGCTCGCCCCCCGCCAGAAATGGCACGCGCGACCGGCCTGATTGGGACGAGGGAAAACAATAAATAGGGGATAAAAACCGGCGTCCAGCCAATGGCCGGCGCCGGCACCTTTTTCTCGCTAGCCGGACCGCGCCTCTGCCAACTTTTGGGGACCCACTCTAACCTCCTCAGACGCCTTCAGAGGCTCAGAAAGCAGGCTCACGGTTCACCCAAGGCTCGCGCCTTTCCTCCCGCCGTCCTTGACAGCCCTGGGGGGA